AGAGAAAACAACCAAACAATGGTTTGTTTTTGTAGAGTAGTTTTTTAGATAAAAAGTACGAAAACTTGTATGATTTGTCTTTTTTTAAAAATGATTTTGAAAAATTGTTTTGGGAAGAGAGTTTTAAAAAAAGTGATTGATTTGATGTGTATGAGAGAGAGCGATTTTGGAAAGTAGGTAACCAAACAAATTTTTGAGATTTTTTTTGAATTTTTTTTTTTTGGTTTGATAATTCTTAAAAATTTGTTTGTAGATAATTTTTCCCAAAAAATTTTCTGAAAAACAAACCAAACAAGGCCTAAATTTTTTTGAATAATACTATATGTACTAATTAGTATACACACTAGTGTACTAAGAGACGATATGACATAATTTTAAAGGTTTTAGATATTTATAATTTGTATAATAAATAGAGTTATTAATGATATCATAATACTAGTTGATACACTAATATGTACACTAAATCGTACATGTAATACCACTGTTTTTTTTTTTTTTTCTTTTCTTTTTGAACAAGAGGAGTATATTGTTTAAGGAGGAAAAGTCATTACATCTTTGAGAAAGGAGAGAACAAAGGGGGCAATACAACCCAGTTAACAGGTAAAGACGTGTGTATGAGCCTGGGCAAGTCAATGCGCCACTCTGTGTTGTATGATTCCAGTCTTTAGATCTCAATTGTTCTAACATGTCTGCCCATTTTTAGATCTCACTTAGGTTGAGCATAAATTTGAGTAAAAATTTAGAAAGAAAAAATAAAAAGATATATAAAACAACAATGTTAAGTGGCCCGAAAAATCATGACTCGAATGACTTGAAACATCCAAAATAACGTTATTTTGATAAGAAGATAAGATAGTGAAATCTTAAATTAGTTTTATCATATATATATTTTTTCTAAGTTTGTCATGGGTTTGATGCAAGTCATTTCTCTCAGTTAAAATATATATATATATATATATATATTATCTTTAGTGATTTTTTTATTTTATTTATTTAAATTTTTTTACTTTTTAACTCCATCTAGTTAGAAGAATCTAAAAACTAAAAAATATTTTAAAAATTCAGAACAAATACTTTTTTGCTTTTTTGTTTTTTTTATTTTATTTTTTGTGTGGTTGATTCGGCTAGTTGGGTAGAACTAAAAGTGTTAAAAAAAAAAAATCACTAAAAATGAAAAATTAACCAAAAAAAAAAAGGTACTAAAAAATTTATTACGATCAATTCAACTGAAGCTTGCATGATTTCCTAACCTCAATAATCATTGTTATCCTAATTTACAACCATTAAAATTTTGCATCAAATTTAAAAGTAGAGTAGAAAGTT